GTTCTCGAAGCTACCAGCATGAGTTTGACCAAACTGCGGGAGGCAGTGGAAGACAGGAGTGCCTGGCGTGCTCTGGTCCATGGAGTCACAAAGAGGCAGACACGACTAAATGACTAAACAACAAAAACATCTATAGGGCCCCAAGACTTTCAGGGAGACTTCCAACAATTAAAAGCACCACAGTTAGCAAGTTTATTTGTTCTGCATTATAAAGGCAGCATCCAGCAGAGACTGCGGCATAATTTGGCCTTCACCAACTGGGTACGATTCAGGTGTCTTGGACTATAATTCCCATCAGCCCCAGCCACCACAGTCATATGATTCTAAGGCTGATGGGAGTTGTAGTCCACAACATCTGGAGGGCACCAGGTTGGGGACAGCTGGTGTAGTGTATTGCAATGCAAAGTCACAAGATCTAAAGGGCTGTGGGTCTTCCATATGGCATGGATGTGTGCTTGCATGTTCCCTTCTTGCAGACAGATGTGAATTCAGGCCAGTCATTGTGCAAGAAAGGGACCCTTAGAGAAACACCTTGGCAGGTGACTGGAATCTGACTAGAAGAAGCCAGTGATTCGTGGGCCAAATTGATGTTTATATGTATTTTTGTGTTCTCCTGCTCCCTCCTCTCCCTGCATACTCAGCACTACCGTTAGAAAGGAAAAGGGTCTTGCAAGGTCCCAGCATAGGTTTGGTTGCAAGAGCCAGAAGCATGGCCCAGATTATTATTATTAGTATTAAGCTGATGGATGTGTTTGTAACTTGAGCACTGCCTTAGTGCCCCTGCCTCTGGTGATTTTTATTTCTCACTTAAAAATACGTGCAAACGCAGTAACCTGAAAGACAGCAGATTTGTCAGTCGGGAGGGTGCTGGCTGCGTGTTGTCTGATGTTTAATTCCCCGTGCGGTGCTCCATCTGATGAGCAGCTGGGCATCTGGGCTGTCCGTCTGCTCCTGCAGCACACTGGAAAAAGACAGAACACCTGAGCATTGTGGGCTGCGGGTCACCACCAAGTGCATGCCCACCAGATGCCTCAGTCTACAGCTGCAGAGTGACACTGACCCTCTTGGGGACCTGCGTCTGTGCAGCCTGAGAGGCGTCTGCTGTGTTTAAGACACCAAAATCACCATTTTTGGAGGGAGCAGTGCTTCTGAATTCCAATTGCTGGACCCCCACAAGAGAGCTGCTCTTGTGCTCAGATCCTGCTTGCTGGTTTCCCACTGGGGAATCTGGCTGGCCCCTGTGAGAACAGGATGCTGGACCGGAGGGCCACTGGCCTCATCCAGCAGGCGCTTCTCATGTTTTTATGTTGCTTTCTTCAGGAATTTCCCGACTGTTAGTTTTAGGGTCTACTTCATGGGTAGGCAAACTAAGGCCCGGGGGCCGGATCCGGCACAATCGCCTTCTCAATCCGGCCCATGGACAGTACAGGAATCAGCATGTTTTACGTGAGTAGAGTGTGTCCTTTTATTTAAAATGCATATCAGGGTTATTTGTGGGGCATAGGAATTTGTTCATTTTTTGTTTCCTTTTCAAAATATAGTCCGGCCCAACACATGGTCTGAGGGACGGTGGACCGGCCCCCTGCTGAAAAAGTTTGCTGACCTCTGGTCTACTGTTTATTGTGTTTTGCTCTAGCATTTTGATAATGATAATGATAATAATTCATTATTTATACCCCACCCATCTGGCTGGGCTTTCCCATCCACTCTGGTGGCTTCCAACCAAATATTAAAATACAGTAATACACCAAACATTAAAAGATTTCCTAAATAGGGTTTACTTCAGATGTCTTCTAAAGTTTGGTACTACCGAGAGTCTGGATTTTGAATTTTATGGTATGCATGGGTTCCCTGGAGTCTGGCATGCGCACCCAGTGCTTGAGCAAGTGTCACGAGCACTTAGCTGAGTAGATCTTCTGCTATCATCACTGAAAGGTGACTCTGTATGGTGATGTGGAGTCTTCAAGATAGATCCATGTGTGGGAATGTTCAGGGTGGCAGGAGAGGCTATTTTCTTTATTAATATCCTTCCTAACTTGTTCTAGCAAGTTCCTTTACTTAGCAGAGTTTACATTCCCCTTCTTACACGCACAGCAGACAGCTGGTTGCAGGCTTGTGTAAGCCTCTCACTATTATACAATTCAGTCTGTCTCAGATTGAATTGTACGTTCCTGGTAAGTTCCCTTGAATCCCTCTTAAAAGAATAAAGATGCCACAACCTTATTCAAAGTCAATAAAAGAAGTTTATTTATGACAGTTCACAGTTGGCTCCCCGAAGGCAGGCTTAGTTACAAATATATACATGTGGATCTACCCCATATGGGGGAATAATCCCAGTGCTTTTGCTAGCTGAGAGCTAGCAGAGCAGTCCTATCTAGAAGCAGGTCAAATGAAGAAGGAGGTCAAAAACGAAAGAGGTGTCCTGCATGACTCATCCTTTTGTTACCTGGACAGGTAAGGTCACGCCCACCTTCTATCACATGCAAAAGGAAGGATGTTCCAGCCAGGAGGAACAGGAAGTTTTCACGTGGCTGGACCAGACATTCCCTCACATGTCTTCTCTAGCATTACAAGGAATGTTGTACTTGAGAGCCAGTGTGGTGTAGTGGTTAAGAGCGATAGACTCGTAATCTGGTGAACCGGGTTCGCGTCTCCGCTCCTCCTCATGCAGCTGCTGGGTGACCTTGGGCCAGTCACACTTCTCTGAAGTCTCTCAGCCCCACTCACCTCACAGAGTGTTTGTTGTGGGGGAGGAAGGGAAAGGAGAATGTTAGCCGCTTTGAGACTCCTTAGGGTAGTGATAAAGCAGGATATCAAATCCAAATTCTTCTTCTTCCTCTCTCATGGATCACATCTCACACCATGCGCATCCCCTGAGAGCACTCTTCTTCTGAAAAGCCCACCCAGCCGCATTTTCTTCATACATCCTTTCACCTTGACCATTCATTCCAGATGCTCTCTGGTGGAGAAAGCTTTTCTTATCAATCGGGAGAGGTGCTACGTTCTCCTCTGCTTCAACCACAGGGCTCGTTCTGAGCTCACAGATCAAATAGCAGGCAACGGGGAGGGAGAGGAGTTTATTTTAAGCCGTAATGAACTCTGGCGACAGTTGCCAGCCCCGACCTCCTTAGCCCAAGTGGCTCTCTGCCACCGAAGCCATTAAGGACTCTGCTCTCCTTTCCTGGAAGCAAAGGCGGCTCTGCAGCTCAAGATGATTCAAGCAGCATCTGGGAGGAGGCTCTAGCCTAGCCTTCCCCAACCAGCTGAGAAAGGAATCGGCTGAGATCTGAACGAAATGCATTATTATTGGTTCAAAGTAATATTTGCTAGGAGTGTGCTTTTGACCCCAAGATTCACCTCGTATCTGTTACAGTTCTTAAAAATTCTGATATGGGGACATGCAGATCTAAAAATAGCTATAACTACTCTCCTTTTGGCCAAAGTGGGTGAAATTTGTAGGCACAGGAGCCTCTTCAGAGTGGATTAAACCTGCCAAAATGCTAGCAAATACATCCAGGGGCAAGTAAAAGGGAGATACTTTCTTGCCTTAGTTACTTTACTTTCTTCCCTCCATAATCCATTATTACAAGGTGAGGTGGGGGTGGTTCTTTCTTACCTTAGATTACCTTAGAATAATTAAGAGCTGGTTGACTGCTAGGTATTCTTTGCAGGGCCACATTCATCTTTCCAGCTCACATTGGCCTGTCTGTATCCTTACAAAATGAGGCTGTCCAAAATGTTGCCTGTAGACTTCTGAAGAGCCCTGAGATAAAAAACTTTGTGTGTGTGTGCTTCGATAAAACACAGCAGGATCTTTTTAAATAAAACCCCCCTCAAATACCTGAAACAATAACAATAACAACAACAACAACAACAACAACAGTAATAATAATAATAATAATAATAATAATAATAATAATAAAACTTATTATATTTGTATCTCCTTTCGTGTAATTTGGTTTGGGTTCCACCTTCTGGAGGAGCAGAAAAGAAGCTTTCTCCATGTGACAGCTCTTCAGATATTTGAAGATGGCTCTCCTATCACCTCTCAGTCTTCTCTTCTTCAGGCTAAATATTTTTCTGACCTTGATAAGGCTCCGTGCGACATATCTCAGGGCAGAGGGATGCATCCGTGCTAGGAGTAGCAGCAAGGGGGTTGGCTGCCCCATCCCGCTGCCTTTCCTCTCCCTCTTACCCACCCATCAGTAATTGTTCCATTTATAGAGAGATGTCAGTTGGGAGAAGGTCATTAGAGTAATTATTCATGATTGTCATGGAGGAGAGTGAAAGGAGGAGGAGAAACAGAAGACACCCAAGGGAGTTTTAATTATGACCTGCCAAAGGGTCGTCATCCTTTTAAAGGAAGAGGCTTTCATCTAAGGTGAGCCCCCGCCCCCTCTGGTGGAAATCGTCCCCCTCCTCCTCCTCCATTTGTCTCTGAAGACGACACTCAGAAATAAATGCGTAGGAAGTGAAATATACTCGGAGTCGAGTGTGGATTTCACTCTCTTTATTCAGCTCATAGTGGTGAGGAGGAATGAAAGTTTCCCCAAAGTATCTGCTTTATATACATTATTTACACAATGGGCCGCACGTGATTGGCTAATTCCAGGATTCTCCTGTAGGCCAATCAGGTTGTGGATTCGCTTCCCTCTGGAGCTGGATTGGGTGGCTCCTGCGGACCAATCATACTGCTGCATTGTTCTAGGACCAATCAGTCTGCTGCATTTTGGATCCTATTCAACTTGGTACATAACAGGAAGCCTAGCAATGGCAGTGGTGGTGTTCACATGCAAGCAGGAACACAGGAAGTTTGATTGTATTGAGTCAGAGCATTAGTCCACCCAGCTCATCTAGCCCAACCTCGTGCAATGCAGGAATTGCAGCTAAAGAATCCATGACAGGATGCCACCCTCTGCTTAGAAACCAAGGAAGGAGAGTCCACAATCTCCTGAGGGAGACAGTTCCAATGCGGAACAGCTCTTACTGTCAGAAAGTTCTTCCTGATGTTGAGTCAGAATCTCCTTCCTTGTAAACTGAATCCATGGGTTCGAGCCCTACCCTCCAGAGCAGGAGAAAACTAGCTTGCTTCATCTTCCATATGACAGCCCTTTAGATATTTGAAGATGGCTCTCATATCTCCTCTCAGTCTCCTCTTTTCCAGGCTAAACATACCCAGCTCCTCCAACCATTCCTCATTGTGGGAATGTTCAGGGATGCAGGAGAGGATATATTGTTTGATTATAGCCTTTCCAACTTGTGTTAAGAAGTTCACAATTTAGCAGAGTAACATTCCCCCTTTTAAACTCACAGCGGATGCGTTTGCTCAGGCTCGCTAAAGCCTCTATAATAACTGCTCTGGTATTTCCCCCTTATTACCTCATAAAAGAGAAGACAAGACACAGTCTTCTATAAAAGTATAGAAAGAGTTTACTCACATTCTGTTCACAATCGGATCCCAGAAAGCAGACTTAGCTTTGAAAAGTAACATACACCTGGAAACTATGTCATAAGGAGACAGTCCCTCTGGAAGCCAAGAGGGCATCTTTGGCTAAGCAGATGTTGCTTCTTCGATGCATGTAGTCAAAGAGAGAGAGATGGCTGCCCTGCCCTGTGCTTTTGTTGTTACCTGCACAGGTGAGGCCACACCCACCTCTAGTCACATGCAGAGGAAGTCTGTCCCAGCCCAGAAGGAAACAGGAAGTTGACCTGTTGGCTGGACAAACATTCCTCCCCATGTGTAAACATGTTCACTCTAGGAATGTTGTACTTGACTGCTCTTGTGTTTCACATCCCTCACTCATAAGGCTGGGTTTCCAGACCCTTGTTCATCTTGGTTGCCCTCCTCTGTACGTCTTCCAGTGAGGAGTCTTTCTGGCCCTACCTGGGGCCAGCTGCATGCAAGCAGATACTCTACCACTGAGCTACAGACCTTTGGCCTGTCTGGAGAAGACAACTTGCATGTGTTGTAGGTATAAGAATATTGATCGACGGCCAACTCATAAAAATGTCAGCTTGCAGCAAATCAAGTAAACATAATAAGTGCATTTGCTGGAGGCAAAAGTCAGAAGGCCTGGCTGAGTCCTGCCTGTCTTCCTAAGGCCTCATCCAGATACCGTTTTTATTGCATGCATTTATGGCAATTTGCGCCCATGATGGGTTCTAGGCAGTTACGCAAGGGATCCCACTCTCAAGACTGTTTTGGCTTGTTAAGGAAAAAATTCTGGGGTGAGAGACTACTCAAGAGCCTAGCTGGTCGGGGTTTAAGTCCCCCGTGGGTCCATGCAGTCAGTAAAAGAAGGAAGCTCCAGCCAAGTAAACAGCGGTCAGTAGACCATGATCTTTATTGTTGCACAACAGGTCCCCCCAGGAGTAAGAACCCCCCGAGCATGGGGTAACATCCTCTGTTAAAACTTCCCTCTTTCCCCCAGAATACGCTTGGAGCAGCATCACTGATACATCCTCACTGAATCACTGGCATGTCACAAGTGGGGAGGGGTCTACAAGGCTTACACAAGTCCAACATGAGGTCACTTTCTCAGACCCCTTTCCCAACACCTCTAAAGTCCCCATCACCAAAAGAACAATAAACTCTTTCCATCTCCTTGCCCTCAAGACTTGCCTGGAGAGGGGCTTTCAGAACACCAGACTTGCTCAACTGCCTCTGGGGATGTCTAGTGTTGCCCCCTTGGTCACTCCCTGGGTGGGGGGCCGTGTCTGTGCACTCACACTTGGGGAATTATGGCGGGATGCCCTGTTCCTGCTGCCTGCGTGACTTCCTGCTTCTTGGTTCGTGGAGGGAGGTGGAGCCCAAATTCACCTTTCTGCAAGGATTAAAATGGCACTGGAATGAGGAGAGTCAGCTAAAGTATGGATTTCCTACAAATTTATAAAGCTAGGTACTGTATCTTCCCTAAGCTGTCAAGTCGAAAGGATATACAGAGGCAAAATATCTGTAAGATTGTAACAACTTTAAAGATGTGTCTACCCACTCACCCACCCCCCAGTCATTTCCGTAACAGGCTGCAAGGGTTTTGGGACTGGGCATCTTGCTTCACTCTCGGTAGATTCTGTTGCTACCTGCTGAAATCCTGTAACTTTTCATATCACAAAGGTTTGGAGTGTGTTGACAGTTCAAAGCAGCTCACCTTCTGGATGGAATTGGAGGGGGAGATCAGAAACAAACAAAAAAATCTGGGATGATGTTGATGTTTCTTCCAGGTTAGGATTTCTGGGCTAGGAAAGAGGTGGTGGTTTTCCAGCTTTTATTTTCTCTGCTGGTTATTGGGTTGAAATACACTTTTGTTTCTTCTTACCGTGCTCTCAAGGTTGTTATCGCATGGGGGAGGGTTATATACATGTACAAAATATTAATATTTATATGAAACACCCCCCCACACACCGATTCTGTTGTATTTTGTAAAGTATTTATGTATATGTGTTCTTTAGGGTTAGGTCACTTAGAGACCTGCATGGTGACAAGCGACTAATAAGTTTAATTAATTAATAATTTGCTTGCTTACTTAATTGATCAACAAGAACAATTCTGGGGGAGTGTCGGGCAGCAACTAGTAAAATGGAACAATGTTTGGATGGGCCAGGATGAATCCACCACTAACCCACTATTGTTTTTTGTTTTTTTTAAATGATATTTATTCCAAATTTAAAGTTACAGAAAAAAGAAGAAAAACCATACAAAATACAAAGAAAATTTTAACCATAACAAAGCAAAAGATAAACGAATAAAAAGAACAATAAGATAGAATAAAAAAGAAGACTTAACAAAAAATATAAAAATACATTAAGTTAAAATAAAACAAAAGCAGATTAAACCTTTACATAACCTTTTCCCTTTACTTATTTCCATGACCTCCTCTCACCTCCCAATTTTGTATTCCAGTTCAAATCGTGTTTCCAGCAAATCCTTCTAACCTTATTTTCATTTACGTATTTTAAAATTAAAATAATGTGATTAGACCTCCTCTAATTCATCAATTTCATCAACTCATTTTTGCTTAGTCCATTATGTCATATCTACCAGAACGACCTAATATTCTTTTTCCAACCTCCTTCTAACATTCTTTTATATTGCAGTACTTTTGAAGATATATTTTGATTTTTTTCCAATCTTCTTCCATCGACCCTTCTCCCTGGTCTTTAACCCACTATTGTTGTATCCGTGACATGTTGCAGAATCATTGCACCATGGAATCGTGGCCTTGGAAGGGACCTGCCAAAAGTCACCCAGCCCAGCCCAGCCCACTGCAATACAGGAATAAAACACGCACAAAAAGACAGGAGTTTGAAGGGGGCCCGAAATCTCTGATTTCAGAACAGCAGGGAACAAAATGGGGAAACCAACCAGGAAATATTCCTGGAGAAAGAGTTCTCTTTGGTGTGAAATTTATTGTGTGGCATTTAATGGACCATCAACTGAGGGAACAGTCTGTTAAAGGCAAAGGGTCTTCTGGATGATCTGTTTATTGAACATTCGCCCTGATTCATATTCATTTGCAGGTAGAGAAGACAGTGCTGGCTATTTAATGAGCACTCATTCTGATTTGTTTTTGGAGGGCTTGGATGAGATGGCGTCAAAGCAACCCTTATCCCACACTTTACAGTACATTTCATATCGCAAAATAGTCTGGGATTTTTTTTTGGGGGGGGGAGATGGGAAGCAGCTTCACAGTTGTGTTACACTTTCCAATCAACTGTAACTGTGCAACCTGAATTTGCAGACATGTGATTGTGACAGCTTGGCTTTAGGCAAGCTTCGTTAACCCCAAAACCCAAAGTTTGGGATCCCCTCCAAAACTTTGGTACCAGTTCGGAGGGGATCCTAAATTTTGGGATTCGTAGTTAATGAAGCTTTTGGCAGCCGCCCCGACCTGCCATCTTCCAGTTCTTTTGGACTATTGCTCTCATCAGCCAGCAGATGCCAATTACCCAAACCAGCAGGTTCAAGTTACGAGAAAGGAAATTGTGTCTAATGTTAGGGAGAACGTTCTGATGGTAAGATCCACTTGGTAGTGGAACAGACTCCCTTAGAAGGTGGCAAGATTTGTTGTTGTTGTTTAGTCCTTTAGTTGTGTCCAACTCTTCGTGACCACCTGGACCAGAGCACGCCAGGCACTCCTGTCTTCCACTGCCTCCCGCAGTTTGGTCAAACTCATGCTGGTCGCTTCGAGAACACTGTCCAACCATCTCGTCCTCTGTCGTCCCCTTCTCCTTGTGCCCTCCATCTTTCCCAACATCAGGGTCTTTTCCAGGGAGTCTTCTCTTCTCATGAGGTGGCCAAAGTCTTGGAGCCTCAGCTTCAGGATCTGTCCTTCCAGTGAGCACTCAGGGCTGATTTCCCTCAGAATGGAGAGGTTTGATCTTCTTGCAGTCCATGGGACTCTCAAGAGTCTCCTCCAGCACCACAATTCAAAAGCATCAATTCTTTGGCGATCAGCCTTCTTTATGGTCCAGCTCTCACTTCCATACATCACTACTGGGAAAACCATAGCTTTTACTATACAGACCTTCGTTGGCAAGATATCCAACCTTTTTTAAAAACCCAAGTCTTTTGCTGTGATTCCCTGCATTGCAGGGGTTGTGCTAGATGACATTTGGGGTTCCCTCCCAACTCTACCGTTGTATGATTTCATAGTCCAAAAATATCTGGAGGGCCCTCGGTTGGAGAAGGCTGAGGCAGGAGGAAGTTTTTGGAATGACTTCAGCGGAAAATTGCGTAACGGGAGACTATCTGTCCTGATATTTTATGATAGGGCATTTATAAATATACACACAAAATACAGCTTGGCAGTTGCAATTAATATGGCCTGCTTTGGGGGAGATATGCAACTTCATTTCAGCATCTACTCTGCTGTGGGCTAATTGGGGCTCAGTTGCCTATGCTGGGTCTCGCAGACAACAGAAATCGATGGAGTCGCCTTTAGAAATCCTTTGCTGCCACCTGGTGGTTCTGCGTAGGTCTGAGCAAGAAGTCACCATTCACTGTGAAAAGCCGCCTCCTCTGTCAGGTGTAGTTCGTTGGCAGGCAGAAGCACTTTGTTCATGCGCAGGAACAGTCAGCAAACTCATTAGCCAAGCAGCAAAATGATAAGTAATTCAACAAGAAGAAAAAATAATTAGTTAAATTCTCATTTGTTGAGGATTAAAAGCCTTAAAATTCTAAGGGGGTTTTACTCACTTCTCTTGGGTTCCA